AACATGGTCATGGTCTTCGGCGAGATCACCACCAAGGCCACAAGCGCCACGGTCGACTCGAGAAGATCGTCCGCTACACTGCCGCCAACATGGCTTCGTCTCTGATGACGTCGGTCTTGGATACCGCCACTGCCAAGCGTCCTGCGTCAACATCGAGCGCAGTCCCCTGACATTGCCCAGGGCGTCCACGGCCACTTCACCAGCGCCCTGAGGAGATTGGCGCCGGCGACCAGGGTCACCATGTTTGGATAACGCCACGATGAGATCCCGAGCTCATGCCCCTCAGCCATCGTCCTCGCCACGAAGGCTCGTGTCGAAGCTCACCGAGGTCCGCAAGAACGGGACTTGCGCCTGGCTGCGGCAACGGAAAGACCCAGGTTACGATTGAGTACGCAACGAGGGCGGACGCGATTGGTCCCCATCCGCGTCCACACCGTCCTGCATTCTCGACCCAGCACAGACCGAGCACTGTCACCCAATGACGAAATGTGCCGCCGACCCTCAAGGAGCACGTCATCAAGACCGGGTGCCATCCCCACCCATGTGACCTCGACGAAGAAGACCATTCTTTCCACCTGAACCCCTCTAGGCCGATTGCGATTGATCGGCGGACCCCACGGAGATGCATGGCCTCACCGGCCGGCAAGATCATCATCGGACACCTACGCGCGGTTGGGGGCGCCCACGGCAGGCGGTCGCTTTCTTCCGGCAAGACCCGACGAAGGCTCGGACCGAGCTGGGGCGATACATCCGTGAGGCAGGGCGGCCAAGAGCATCGTGGCCAGCGGGCGTCGCCCGTGTCGGTTGCATCGTGCAGCGTTTCGTATGCGATACGGAGTTCTCTTCCATAACGTGCGGTGGTGCCTGCACCTCTGTCGGTTTTCGTCGACAGCTATGGCACCGGAGGATCCCTGAATAGGTAGATATGAAGATTGGTGAAGGAGGAACTTTGATTTCAAGGCCGGGTGATGATCACCTCAACTCTCTCGACCTCAAGAGAGGAGGCAACGGCCGGTTCATTGAAGACGGCGGCTAATTAGAAACTGTGGGCACTTTGGCCGGGACGACGCTGACTTCCGCTGGGATGGCCGTTCAAGCCTCTCAAATGGAGAAGCCCGCGGCGTAAAGAGATCTCCTCTGCATAACTGACCTCCAAGTTGGCGTCGCTTACTTGCTTATTATTATGATGTTTGGTTATTAAAATCTTGGTGTTTGCTGTTGTGTATGCGAGGGTTGGGAGGTGTGGAGTATGATTTATTCGTTATTATTCATATTTTTGGAGGGAGAATCAGCCTCTGGCGTTTTTACTATGGAAGTAAAAAATATTTTTGGTTTTCTCAAACGATTTCTTATCTGTTACCAGTCAGATATGCCTCGAATCAGGAAACTTATATCTATATCCGCTAAAATTACGATATGGGATATTCAGTTAGTATATGTGCGGATGTTTACATGCCATACAAAATACCAGATAACTATATAAATTGAAGAAGATATTTGTTCCATTGTAATCAGATTCCTCTTCTT